GGTAAAAAAATAAAAATAAAACAACAAAAATCACGACGTTTCGGCCACAACACAAGCGGCCTTCATCAGGTGAAGGGACCGGACTGTCCAGAGGACAGCGTTGGAGTGAAGACAGCCAAGCGCAGGTCGCATCCTTTAAGCTGTGTGGGACTGCGCTTGGCTGTCTTCACTCCAGCGCTGTCCTCTGGACAGTACGGTCCCTTCGCCTGATGATGGCCACTTGCGTTGTGGCCGAAACGTCGTGAGAATTTTGCTGTTTCACTTTTATTCTTTACCTACGCGCCCTTACCGAATAGAACCCAAGAATACGCAAGCGCTGTGAACGGGCAGCGTCCACTTAACCTGCAGTATCAGGCACGGCCCATCAGGGGCAGTGACTTGCACCGGCATTGGGGGGTCGTCGCTACATTCCCCAGCCCCAAAGCAGGAGGAGCCTGTGGGGTGTTCTGGGATTCCCCCGGGACCTCCCCCCCGCCCCCACCCCACCCCACACCACCGCTCGGAACCCTCTGGAAGGGAGGCGGGGCCAGAGGCTGGCACACCCGGGGAGGGTGTATAAAAGCCGGACGTCTCGACGGGTCCGCGGGCCGGTCCAAGACAGAAGCCAGACAGCCGACGACGCCGGGACCCCCTAGCCCCGCTGCCCTTGTAAGGGCCTGGACTCTGTGTGACCCACGACCTTCTACGAGACCCTGGAAAACCCCCGCCCCCGCCCCCGCCCCCGCCCCCCGGCCCGACGTCCTTGGGGCTGGGTCGGGGTCAGCGTAGCACCGCCCCAGGGGGCTCGTAGCCGGAGGACTGACGCTAGTCCGGAGGCCCGTACCTCCCCAGGTGATAGGTACAAAAAAAAAGGCTTAGGTTGCCTTAGCGTTCATTGGGATAAACGCGTCGCCTCGAAGAGTCGTCTGGAGCGCTCCGTGAAACCACTGCACACGCGTGTCTGTGTGTGTGTGTGTGTTTGTGTACGTGTGTATGTGGATGTGTGTGTGTGTGTATGGAGGGCGGAGGAGCGACGCTCACAACATCGAGCGGAGCGCCGGGTGGCTAAGGCGCGGCAGGTTGGCACAGTAGGGGGGCACAGGTGGTGCATCAGCCAGTCGTCTCAGTAGTCTCAGTCAGTCGACCCTTGGCACCTGCTGGGTCTGCCCCGTGACCTCCTGCCAGCGGGCGTTCGATGCTTCACGTGGCCTCAAGGTGCACATGGCCTGGCACAAGCGTCGTGGTGACGTCACCGCCACTTAGTGGCGAATGGCGGTTGTTGTTGTCTGTCTGTGTGTGTCTGTCTGTGTGTGTGTGTCTGTGTGTGTGTGTCTCTATGTATCTGTGTGTGTGTCTGTATGTGTGTCTGTATGTGTTTGTGTGTCTGTATGTGTTTGTGTGTCTGTATGTGTTTGTGTGTCTCTATGTATCTGTGAGTGTGTCTGTATGTATCTGTGTGTGTGTGTCTGTATGTATCTGTGTGTGTGTGTCTGTATGTATCTGCGTGTGTGTCTGTATGTGTTTGTGTGTCTGTATGTATCTGTGTGTGTGTCTGTATGTGTTTGTGTGTCTGTATGTGTTTGTGTGTCTCTATGTATCTGTGAGTGTGCCTGTATGTATGTGTGTGTCTGTATGTGTTTGTGTGTCTCTATGTATCTGTGTGTGTCTGTATGTGTGTGTGTGTCTGTATTTGTTTGTGTGTCTGTATGTGTTTGTGTGTCTCTATGTATCTGTGTGTGTGTCTGTATGTGTGTGTGTCTGTATGTGTTTGTGTGTCTGTATGTGTTTGTGTGTCTGTATGTATCTGTGTGTGTGTGTCTCTATGTATCTGTGTGTGTCTCTATGTATCTGTGTGTCTGTATGTGTGTGTGTGTCTGTGTGTGTGTGTGGGGATCGATAG